TAAGCGAGGAAATCAGCCCCAGCCTTTCCCCAGCTGGTCTGAACACGGGGGAGGGAGGCTCAGGCAGTGTGCGCTGCTCTTGCCTTCCCCTGGCTGGCTGGAGCATGCTTACTTGGGGGACTATGGGAGAGGCCTGCATACAGACCTGAAGCATGATTTGCTTTCCATGACAGATCATTTAGTTTTATGGGATACTCATTGCTTCATTGATCTGTGCACATATACAACATTCAGTGCTATGTGGGCTGTTCCTTTCTTTGTGATCTAGGCATTAACAGAAGTGGCTGCCCTATGGGAATGCAACCATAATGTCATGCCCTAGCCCTGTTTCCCTGGCAACTTTAGTGAAGATACCACTTCTAAGATCCTCTTGAGAGTATTTGAATGGCGGGGTCTCAGATGGAACACACACCATTACACACTCTAATGCCTGTTTTCTTTTTTCAGCAGAGAGTGAACCTGTAGACATTTGACTTCTGCTGTTGATGGTGACAAAGCTTGGCAAATGTGAACCTGAACTCCCCTTCCAGTCCTATTATTCTATGATTCTATGATTCTATGATTTGATGCCTTCACTCGTTTGAACAGACCTTAAAATATTGAAACATTCTTACTAGGTACCCCCCTTCTGTCTTCTATTCTCAAGACTGAACATACCCATTTTTTAAACTTTTCCTCATAGTTCATATTTTCTTTTATCATTTCTGTTGGTTTTGTCTGGACCCTCTATAAAGTTTCTTTTAGGATAGTAGAGCGGGAGGGCAAAAATAGTAAATATTTTTGACAGTTTGACAGCACCCTACTTCTCCAATTTATTTTATATATCCAGCTCTAGAGCCCTAAAAACTCCATTCGTCCTGAATAGGATTTCCCCTGTGCAGAATGAATTCTGCTGAGTATCATTTAGTTCCTATCAAAAATGGAAAAGAATATTTTGCTCCTTTCCTGAAGGGCTGGTTATGTTGCAGGACTGTATTGTGCCTTGCACCGGTAGTACCTGAGGGTCCTGCAATAGCTCTATGCCCAGCTCTAGGGAGCCCGGAGTCTTTGTCCCCAACCCAGGTCTGCTCCTCCACACTGATTTGTCTGACCACCCTACCATAAGGAAGATAATAGTTCCAATTCCCACTTCAATATCCTGGCATGTGAAACAGAGCAAGTCATCAGAGCTGGCTACTAGCTTTGTGACCCATCTCTGTCATGGTATTGATAAATAACCCTAAATATATGTTGCAGAGTCATTTGGGATTCTCTATACAATGTTTTTGTGAGTGCTGTTGCACTTCTGTGCACAGGTGCAGCACTTGAATTTTAAAATAAGTATTTGTACAGTGTGTGTTTGAGATTAGAAACTGGCTCTAGCAGCATAATGAACAAACATCTTTACTGCAATCCAGTTCACAACTGAAGCACAGGCTTTCAGGCAGGAATTTTGGGGGGGGGGAAATGCTTTTTTATAAATGTGGACTGCAAGGGTGTGAATGCACTCCATAGTCCCCCCAGTAAGCGAGGAAATCAGCCCCAGCCTTTCCCCAGCTGGTCTGAACACGGGGGAGGGAGGCTCAGGCAGTGTGCGCTGCTCTTGCCTTCCCCTGGCTGGCTGGAGCATGCTTACTTGGGGGACTATGGGAGAGGCCTGCATACAGACCTGAAGCATGATTTGCTTTCCATGACAGATCATTTAGTTTTATGGGATACTCATTGCTTCATTGATCTGTGCACATATACAACATTCAGTGCTATGTGGGCTGTTCCTTTCTTTGTGATCTAGGCATTAACAGAAGTGGCTGCCCTATGGGAATGCAACCATAATGTCATGCCCTAGCCCTGTTTCCCTGGCAACTTTAGTGAAGATACCACTTCTAAGATCCTCTTGAGAGTATTTGAATGGCGGGGTCTCAGATGGAACACACACCATTACACACTCTAATGCCTGTTTTCTTTTTTCAGCAGAGAGTGAACCTGTAGACATTTGACTTCTGCTGTTGATGGTGACAAAGCTTGGCAAATGTGAACCTGAACTCTTCCTGCCTGTTCTCCGGGGATGTCTGCTATGTCTCAGCTGGCCCTCCCCTCCCTCTTGTGTTCCAGAGAGAGCCTACCAGATTGTGGGGTGGTTCTTGGCTGGCTGCTGCTGCATTTGGCCATCTCTCTGGAGACAGGATCCTAGAACTTGTATGCTTCTGGGTTAACTGCAGAGAAGCAGCTGAATTTTTCCTTCCAGGAGCATGTGCATTCTCTGGGCCAGATGCTGGGAAGCAGACAGCATTTTTTCAGAAATCTACATTCCTAGAATTCTGAGATCTTACGAGCTAGTGACAAACCTTATTTGATTCCTATGCTCTGGGGGCCAAATTTTCCATTACCTAATTGAACACAGCTTCATTGTCTACAATGGCCAGATTATGCTTAGTGATGAATTTGTACGCTGAAGCATGGGCTCCTCTAAGCCAGCTGCAAGGAATTAGCCTTTTGGTCTTCTCTTAGAAAGCAGACCCTTTCCAGCTATTTGTACTCCAGGGCTACGTCTAGACTGGCATGATTTTCCAGAAATGCTTTTAACGGAAAAGTATTCTGTTAAAAGCATTTTCGGAAAAGAGCGTCTAGATTGGCGCGGAGTTCGCGTTATAATGATGCGCTTTTGTGGAAAAGTGTCCGTGCCAATCTAGAAGCGCTTTTGCATAAAAAAGCCCCGATCGCCATTTTCGCAATCGGGGCTTTTTTGCGGAAAAAAAAATGGGCTGTCTACACTGGCAAAAAACTTTTGTGCAAAAGGGACTTTTGCACCGAATGGGAGCAGCACAGTATTTTCACAAAAAGCACTGATTTCTTACAGTAGGAAGTCAGTGCTTTTGTGGAAATTCAAGCGGCCAGTGTAGACAGCTGGCAAGTTTTTCCGGAAAAGTGGCTGATTTTCTGGAAAAACTGGCCAGTCTAGACACAGCCCAGGAGTTCTGGGCTCATATCAGTGAGACGCAGTAAAACAGCTAGTTACAGCTCTTCAAGAGTTTAGAACTCTGCAGTGCCGGCAGGCCCACATTATGATGTTTTGGAGCAAGCCTATGGTGATGTAGTGTCATGAGAGCACTGTTAAACTAGAAATTAAAATAAACTTTCAAATAAGGTACATCAGTTGTTTGTGAGCCACTCTTATACATTAAGTATTCTGCAGAGATTTAGGATGGTTACTGTACACTTTTTACTATGGCTGGTTCAGCCCACAGCGATGGCCCATGAGGAGGAGTGGACATGAAAAAGAGTCTTTAACCCTCCCAAGTTCTGCCTGCTCCAGAAAACGTCATAAATTAGTGCACCCACTATGGTCTCTGTACTTCCATTGGCTGGGAAATTTCTGCTGGCTGCTCCTAGGGTGCAGCATGGTCTGTGGTGCCAGGAGAGGCAGGAAGCCTGCCTTAGTACTCCCACTGCACTGCTGACTGGGAGCTGCTCAACGTAAGCCCCTTCTGCCACAGCCCTGACACCCCGTCCTAATCCCCACCCCGGGGCTTAATATGCAACCACACTTAAGTTGTGGCCCTCAGCATGTGCTGTGAGTATCACTGTGGCCCCCGGGGCTTCCAAAGTTGAGTAGCCCTGCTGTAATGATTTGCTCCCATATTGTCAAACCCTGATTCCCCACATTAAAACAAGATTCATGTGATTTGTGTGACACAGCAAATGCATCCCTCAATCCAGAGGCAAGGCAATCTGGGATATCGAAGGAACTTTGCCTGATGGGACCCTCCCATATACTATACTTCTATGAGCTTGATCTGCAATCTCTTAACATGAGCTGTCCTTACTCATGTGAATCTACAAATAGAAATCATGGACTGTCTGTGATCAGGACTCTTCAGGGTTATGCTCTAGGTCAGTCTAGGCTTAAGTTTTTATTGGTATAGCTGTCAGAAACATGTATACTTTTATTATTTTTTGTCAGCATAGCTATACTAGTAAAAGCTCTAGTGTAGGCACAGTTATTTGGGTTTAATGCACCAGTGCAGCTTAATTTGTTTTTGCTGAATTAGAATAAGCTATACAGCCATAAGTATTTTATGTGGTACTAATTAAAACAGCAACATTTTAAGAATTTGGTTAACTATTAGTTAACACTGTTAATTAATACAATGCTATTATTTGGGGCCAAAATCTGCCATTGGGTATACAAGGATCTCATTGTTTTCTATGGGAGCTGCCACTGAATGAAAAATTTGACCCTTAGAATCATAGAATTGTAGGGCTGGAAAAGACCTCAGGAGATCATCGAGTCCAGCCCCCTGCCCAAAGCAGGACCAACCCCAACTAAATCATCCCAGCCAGGGCTTTGTCAATCCAAACCTTAAAAACCTCTAGGGATGGAGATTCCACCACCTCCCTAGATAACCCATTCCAGTACTTCACCACCCTCCTAGTGAAGTAGTTTTTCCTAATATCCAACCTAGACCTCCCCTATTGCAACTTGAGAGCACTGCTTCTCGTTCTGCCATCTTACTCTACTGAGAACAGCCTCTCTCCAGCCTTTTTGGAACCTCCCTTCAGGAAGTTGAAGGCTGCTATCAAATCCCCCCTCGCTCTTCTCTTCTGCAGACTAAATAAGCCCAAATTCCTCAGACTCAAATTTTGGTTGCCCTTCGCTGGACCCTCTCCAATGCATCCACATCCTGTTTATAGTGGGGGGCACAGAATTGGATGCAGTACTCCAGATGTGGCCTCATTAGTGCCAAATAGAGGGGAATAATCACTTCTCTAGATCTGCTGGCAATGCTCCTCCTTATGCAACCCAATATGCCATTAGCCTTCTTGCCTACAAGGGCACACTATTGACTCATATTCAGCTTCTCATCCACTGTAATCCCCAGGTCCTTTTCTGCTGAACTGCTACCTAGTCAGTCAGTCCCCAACCTGTAACAATACTTGGGATTCTTCCATTCCAAGTACAGGACTCTGCATTTATCCTTGTTGAACCTCATCAGATTTCTTTTGTCCCAATCCTCTAATCTGTCTAGGTCACTCTGGACCTGTCCCTACCCTCCAACATACCCTACCTCTCTTCCTATTTTATTGTCATCTGCCAACTTGCTGAGGATACAATCCAACCCCTCATCCAGGTAATTAATGAAGTTGTTGAATAAAACTGGTGCTAGAACCTATCCTTGGGGCACTCCACTTGAAACTGATTGCCAAGCAGACAACAAGCCATTGATCACTACCCGTTGGGCCCAACAATCTAGCCAGCTTTCTATCCACCTTATACAGGCAGTCCCCGGGTTACATACAAGATAATGACTGTAGGTTTGTTCTTAAGTTGAATTTGTATGTAAGTCGGAACTGGTACATATTGTAGGGGAAACTCTAGCCAAACATTTCTCCAGAGCTCAGTTTTATTCTCCCATACCTCACTTCCCTCAGTCCTTTATTCTCAAGCTGAGGTGTCTGCTGAGAAAAGCCGCTCCGCGTCTCCCTGGTCTGCTGGGGGGGGGGGCGCACTAGCTTCACGTCTCTCTGGTCTGCTGGGGGGAAGCAGCTAGTGCGGGGTTGCCTCACTCCGTTTGTAAGTAGGGATCCGATGTAAGTCGGATCCATGTAACCCGGGGACTGCCTGTAGTCCATTTATCCAATCCGTATTTCCTTAATTTGCTGGCAGGAATATTGTGGGAGACCATATCCAAAGCTTTGCTAAAGTCAAAGACCCTTCTGCGAACAACTTTTGGAAACAAACTTCAGTTTTCATTAAACTTAATCAGACTACATAAACAGATCCACAAGGCATTCTCCTCTCTGACAAGCAAAAGAACAGGGATAAAATTCTATTCAATTATGTGGGCGCAAAACTGAAATAACTGAGTTGCCATCAGCTGAGTCACTCTGTAGTTACATGAGTGTAACTGAGAGTAAAATCTGTCCCAGGAGCTCAGAAAATGGATTATCTAATTTTAGGATGCTTCCTAAAATTGTGCCCCATGTGTATGTTTGGATGGAGAGGAGGGGGAAGTGAGGTGTGGAGAGGGGTATGGAATGGTAGAGAATAGATAGTAGAGAATGCAGTGTAACCAACCTTGGGCAGCCTATATTTGGTTATTAAACAATGGTATATTTTTCCCTATGTCCTGCCAAATTATCTAACCTAAGTGTATTTCATTTGGAGATAAAAATGTGGCCCTATTTCTCCAAACAAATGTCCAATTAATATCCTTCAATTGTTGGCATCTCTAACAGCATGAACTTGTCCCCATGTGTCCTGTGATCAGCTTGACTGAGCCAAGAAGGTTATTAACCTTTTAGCATGGAATCCAATGCAAAGGTCATTGGCATACTATTCTAAGTCTACTATGTCAGAAAATGTTGTTGACTAGCAGAAACTGAATTATCCATATAACACTATAAAAAGAAGTTTGTGGATGATTACTGGACATCAGTATATCATTGTTTTTATTTGTTACTTAGATAAAAGGGAAGGAATATTATCACATGTTGTCAGAGTTACCAGGCCTTACAGGTTAATCTGATAGGTGCGAAGGGGCAGGATCGAGAAGCAGCTCTTGGACTGGTTCCAAGCAGCTCTCGGACTGGTTCCAACTGCTCCAGTTGTTCTTCCTTTCACTGCTTTGTTTTGAGAATCACTTATTCTTTTTCTTCCCTTTACTCACTGTACACTTCTGGAACAATGCCTGCAAAGGGAGGGGAAGTAGGCAGGAGGAGAAAGGATGTTAAGAATGCAGAAAGACTGAACTTAGATAGTAACTCTTCTTTCCAAAGCTCAGTTATCTGACCCTAAATTAAGACTACCTGCACCTTCTTGCACTCACTGTCCCACAGAAAGACTACTTTGAATGCTGCATTAAATCTAGAGGACCGCATATGAAACAAGAGGATATCTGATACAGTGTTTCGAGCAGAGATTCAGGATACAGCCTTCTGAATTTTGTTCCTGCCTCAGTTAATTCACTTGCTGAAAGTAAGTGAATTAAGTCCTTTATATCTTGGTCTACACATCATAAAAAATCAGTACAATAATACCTCACAGAGAAGTCAGGAGGTTTAATAAATCTCTAAGATAAAGGCTCATAGGGCTCAGTTCAGCAAGGTGCCTGATCACATGCATAGTCCCACTGCAATGAATGGAGTATCCAGGTATTTAAAGTAGTGCACAAGCCTGAGCCTATGACAGGTGCAATTAAAGCTAGCCTACTATATGGTGGTGGCAGTAGTTGCCATCAGATTTAAAATTAGACAAAACAGACTTGGAAAAAGGTTTTATACTTACAGTCAGGTTTTCAAAAAGGCCTCCAACATTTTACAGGCAAATATACACAAACCTATTTAGAAGGTTCAGTCTGAACATGTGCCATCTGGACTGCTGTTTATGCATTTAGAAACTTTAGTCATGGTAGGCTTGAAAATTAAATAACACTAACAGATTCACCACAATCTATGGACCCTCATTAAAAACACCAAAAAGAACCCTTATAAAAAGTAAAAGATCCTGTTTGTCTCTTTTAGAAACCACAGAAAATGTTATTATATCCAACAATACCAATATATTATTGGTCAGATTATCAGCTGATGTATATGGGCCAATGTATATAAGCTAAGTATTTGGCCCATTCCCAGCGTATCTGACACCTGGATGCATATGATTCTGATCTAGAATATGAAGGAGGCTATGATACATCATGAGCTGAGAAGACATCTAGTATGTAGAGGGACAAAAGAAGGACCCATTGTTTTCCATGTGTCAAACAGGACCAAAGACTATTCAAAGCTGTCAAGGAGGAACTGGAACTACAGTATTTTATCACAGAGACAAGGTATGGTATCTGTTCTCTCTTCTAAAAATCAGTGTAGTTAAACAAGATAGAAACAGGCATTGAAGTTATTTCAAAGATCTCTTGTACTGGCTGTTTGTACGTAAATTGACTGTCAAACTCCAGCAACTGTTGAAAGGAAAATCATACTTGCAGGGAAACAAGATCCTGTGAGATATTTTAAAAATTGAGAAAACTCCTGTTGTTGTTTATGGTCTTTGGATCAAGGTCAGATTGCAATTTCCTATCTTGAATACTATAACTGAGCAATATATAACAGCTTACAGATTATAAAATTTTATTCAGACCATGTATTTGGTAGGGGAAAAATAATACTTTCAGTATATATTGAATCATAAAGTAGTTCTGATTTTAAAACTTATCTGAAATTGTTCTACTCTCTTGCTTGAATGATCTAAACTAACTTGAGTAAAATGTTCCTGATTTTAGTTTTGTATTTAAATAATTAATATTATAATAATATAAGACATGATTTTTCATATCATAAGAAACACCTCTTCAGGTATTCTCATTAAATAATTAACAAAATGAAATTCAATTTCTGTAACCTTCATTAAATGAAAAAATGGCGTATTTAAACACACATACTCTCTCTCTCTCTCTCTCTCTCTCTCTCTCAGGGAGTCAGGTTCATTACCCACATTTCCTAGTAATTAGCAAATCATTTGCAGGATATCCCATTCCAGCAAACCTAACAAGAAATCCTTAATAGCTGAACGAAAATCAGTCTAGTCAACTCATATTTCAGAACGGAGTTTAAATGATCTGTTAGAGCCTTGAAGAGGACCCATGGCCTAATTTGTTTTCCAGGGAGCTGTGCCTTCTCAGCTCCCTTTTAAGTCAATGGAGATGGCATGTGCTCCCAACCTTTCAATTAGGCCACTGGAGTTTTGCAAACAAGTTTTGCTGACTCTGGAGATCGAGGCTGAAGGTCGAGGCTTAACAAGAAAAATCAATATACTAAAGGCTAAGTCTACGAGTCTTTTGCAATCATGCAACATTAAACAAATTTCAAGCACACAAAGATGTGTAGCTTTGATATTGTTCTTTTAATTGCCATTCCAGTCATTCAAGAATAGAGAGTTGACATGTGACTATCAAATAGTTGGTCAAGAGAGCCAGCTGATTCAACTAAAGAAGCTCTGTGAGGTTAGAGGTCCCTTGGTTCAATTACCATCTCTCTTTACAAAATTAATGGCCAAAACACTGCACAATGAAATGCTCCTCTATATCTGTTGTATTTATCTGAGACCAAAAAAACATGTGCTATGAAATAAGAGGCGTATATGACTTTAGCAAAAGAGACCTCCACTCTTGCTTTCCTATTTCATCACGTTAGATCTGAAATCTAATGGCTATATTGGGCTTGGGGTTTTTTGGGTGAGGATGAGGGGGGGCTAAAATAGAACCAATATCCACATTCCTTATGCAGCAAATAGTGCACAACTGAGCAATGCATGTCAGGTCTGCACTGCAAACAATTTAGAATGATCTAATATTAAGGTGCAGAATTTCATCAAAACTTAGTCAGATGGCTCCAGTTTCACAAATGCTTTATATTTGTGTGAGGAAAAGCATATTCTGACTGGGGGAAAAAATGGAAACAAATAGTTTGTCCAGATGAACTCTATATCAACCTCACTTGGCTGCTTGAACAGGTGACTACTAGGGATGATGAAGACAATAATGATTAGATTATTTAAATTTTTCAAAGAACTACACATCCACTAATACACAACACAGCCATGCAAAGTTCTATTCCTCATAACCATGCACCTGAGCTGTATTATTTTTCTCATTCATTAACAGATCAGTATCAGTATCATTCATCAGTATCAGTGTTGGGGGGGGTGGCTTTACCCTGCCTCTGGAACTGTAGTTGGGTACGTCATGGACAAAGTGACCAAACCCCTCAGAGATGTCTAGAGAGTTGGCAGGAAATACTGCCTGTATGTCCTGCTACTGTTTCTCCTTTCTCCTTTGACAGGTGTCTGGAATTGCTGTGAGAGAAGGGACAACACATATGGAAGGAAAGGGAACCTACTTTCAATGCTGGGATACAGCAGCCTGAGTCTGAGCTTGGAGTTGGGGAATAGGCCTCGAAGGCAACCTGAACATGTGTTTTTATGAGCCTGCACATGTGAGAATCTGCCAAGGGGAAAAAGGTGCCTTAAATGAGGATGAAGGAGCCAGGGCTGGAGGGGCAGAGAAAACAGAATTCCTCGGAGTCATGCAGAGTTTATGTGATACTCCCACTGCCTGCTTTTTTGCAGTGACACGGGGGTTCTGTTCATGTTAGTATAAAGAAGTGTGCTGCAGTGATTCCTGGATGAACTCCTGCCTCCCTTGAACTTGAAAGAATATGAAATATCCTGGGAGAGAGGTAAGCTTCCTATCAGACACCTCACACTCTATTAACTGCAAACAATCAGGCTCCAGTGCTGCTGCTTGTTTGTGTTCACCTTAGGGTGGCTGACATCTCCTACATTGGCAGATCTTTTACTTCCTTAACTTGTTTATGAACCACATGGGTTCTATTCCTGCAATTCACAGCCAAGGATTATTCTTGGAAGAGTTAACTTGGCAGTCATTCCTGTGGAAGAACTAACCACTTTGTGTGTGTGTATCTTTCTTGTATTGAAAGCACCGGATGGAACATAATGATACAATAAACCTCTGTCACAGATACAATGAAAGCCTCAAGTCTGAATTCTCTGCCAACATGAGCTGTCTTTATTTTTTTGGAAATGGAAGGCAAAAAGAAAACCTGGCATCCTTAAACAATTTTGTAAGTTCACAAAGTGCAGAGCCAGTGTATGTCTGGAAAAGTCCCTCTTTCCCAACTGCAAAGTCTATATAAGGGATAAGGCACAGTTATAGGGAAACTCCGGGATTGCTTCCTTCTTGTGTTGTGACAGGTGGATAAGCCCCACAGCAGGGGTATGGGAAGGAGGCATGGTTATGTCCTTGTCACACCAACACCCTTAGCTCCGCTGGCCCACAGATCTAGGAGTTCTCTGGAGTCTTTCCACCATCCGAAAAATAGATTTCTATTTTCAGCAAGGTGGAGAGAGGTAGTTCATGCTATTAGAAGGAGCAGAATGTAACTGAGCGATGATTCCCACAGAAATGGATATTGGCTGTGACACATGATTGTCAATGAATACAGTAGAAAAAAACCCATAAATTGCAGAAAAAACACTCAAATTCCCATTTCTTGAAGATGTCTGACTCAATTCTGAGCCTTTAGCAAAATGTTAAAAAACTCAATATAACCTGTACAATCAAAGACACTGAATGATGGGACAGGTTGGCTCTCACTGGTCCAGCACCCTTGGGACCTGACCAGTACCGAATGAGGGAATTTGCCAGACCAGGGGAATTCAGTTTCAGACCCTTTGCTGATGAACTCCAGGCTCTCCTGGGTCCATCAGCAGACCCATTTGGCTCAGCTCTGGCTCTGCCCCTTCACCCAGCTGCCAGTCTGACTGGGCTCTTTTGCCGGTCTGGGGCTGCAGGACACAGGATTCCTGTCCCTGGGCCACCGGCCCTGCCCAGGCTCTGCTGATGGTCCAGCCCCACCACTGGGCTCTGTGTCTTGGAGGAGGCACTGCTGCTGGTCCGCCCCAGCCCTGGCCACCACATTCCTTGCCCATGGTCAACCACTGCTACTGGTCTGACCCCAGCCCCAGCCACTGGGTTCCCTGTCCCAAGTGCCAGGCTCCCACCTCTTCTTCCACCTGCCAGCCCCCAATCCCACTCCTGGCTGCTGCACTAGTGCTCCCCAGCCACTAGCGCTCCCCAGTCCAAGGGCTCTCTTGTCTGGCAACATCTGTAGTCCAGTAGAGAATCTTCCATATGGTATAGGACTTCAATGACTCTGGCCATCTCACTGCCCCTGAAAGGAGCTTACTATAGAAAGGGATGTGGCTATGGAGTATATTATCCATATGATTCATAGTTGCCTGGCTTAAAGAAGCTACAAGTGGCTGTAAGAAGGAAGATGTGCTTTGAGCCCTGGCCTCTGTTCTATACGTAGGCTTTTATACCGCATTCATTACCACTTATCTGAGCTCCTTCCAGTAGCACATTAAGTAATGTGATTAACATCTGTCACCTGTTGTTTGTTCTCTTGCCTTCTCCCAGCGGGAGAAACATTTGCAGTGGAGTAATTTGTTTTGCTAAGGTTTATTTCAGTACACTTGTTGCTATGTGTATATATTACAAAAGGCACGGTCAAAAGAAATGCATAGAACACTTGGAGAAGAATATGGCGAGGATTGTAATGGACCTTAGTTCCTGTAGGAGTTGATGCCACATTGTGGACTGCCCCCTGAGAAAATTTTGTCTCCTGTACAGAATAGCGTTACTGTTATTGTAGTGTGCTCTACTGTGCCAGAGGAGCAAAATTGTTGACCACAGTCTTCGTCCCAGAGATTCAGACAACCTTTTACATATTTGAAATTCTATGGGAAGCCAGTGTAAAGAGTGGAAGACAGGTGGAATGTGCTCATGATAGCCTGTGTCACTGTGGAGATGTGCTGCAGCATTTTGTACTAGTTTGAATTTCCGAAATGCTAAAGGCTTCATACTCCTTATATTGTATTGCTATAGTCCAGCTGAGATGTAACAAAGGCATGAATAAAGGAGGCCAATTTTTCTTCATATACAAGGAATGAACGGAGTCTCCTAGCCAATTGGACATAGTCTATGGACATGGCTATTGTGATATGTGTGTTTAATGTCAGAGAGGAATCCAAGAGTACTTCTAGTCCATGCACTGAATTTAAAAATTGCAGACACAAGCCTTCAACCAATGAAGACAACATCCTGGCTGCAAACTCCTCAAAATACTTTCATCTGCTTACCTATATTTTGCTCTACCATGGTGTGAACAATGGGTTAGCTAGTTGTATTTTTTGTAAATACTGTAGGCACCCTTTTCTATACGATTATCATCATGCTGTCTGCGAGGTGGGGGCAAAGAGTAAACTCAATTTTGGATGGTTTTACAAATCTCCAATACAGCAGAAATGAATCTAACTCAATTGCTGGTCCTTAATGAACAGTACACTGTACCCACAGCTGCATGTCTATTTCTGACACAATTAGTGCCATACATAATCCAGACTGACCAAGTTTAGGGGGCTCATGTCATTAAAGAAATCTAAAAATGAATAAAAGCCTACCTATGAACTGAGGGGAGACACTGACTAAGACAGAAGCTGTAGGGCTACAGATCATCTCACCAATACCCGCTGCTGTGGCATCTTAACAGAAAGCCCATTATTTCAAAATATAATGAGCTCGCTATTCCGACATACTTGTAAACCTCATTCCATGAGGCATAATGGACGTTTTGGAATAGTGAGTTATTTTGAAATTTGGTGCTGTGTAATCAGCCCCAAATTATTAAATAAGCTATTATGAAATAAGATCAAAATAAGATAGAAAATTTACATAGCTCAAATTGTGAATCTTATTTTGATCTACGGTCCAGTGTAGATGCACCCTGGATGTTGACAAAGCAGACAGTGCCAGACTAGAAACGTTCAACCTGTATCAGAATGTCTAATTGACTAACTGCACAAGTGAAAAAATTATTTCATATTTTCCCACTTGGAATTTATTTACCTTACTTCCACTCGCATTTCTGCATATATTCCTCTGCTTTATGACAATTTACCCATAATACTAATGAGAAGAAGGACCCAATACTGCATGTTGAAAGATCTTGTGATAGCAATGCAAATGAAGACAAATGTAGGTGACACAAACAACCCCACTAGAATTTCAAAAACAAGTGGATCATACATCATCCCAAGCTGTAGAAGACAATCTACATGAAGGCAACAACATGATATTTTTTTCTAGGCCTTTCCCTGGCTGCTAAGGTCAGACCACAGGAATTTATGATACTCGTAAATGTTTTTTTCTTATTAGTGACGGGGAAGGAGCCACCACTTGGTCTCTTGCAAAACTGAGGGTCATCAGTGAGAACAAAAGTTCTATTTTCTGGGACCGTGCTGACGCAAAAGGCTTGGCATATGAAAGAAATCACAAGCAGAAGACCCAGAGGGAGATGAGGAAAATGAGTAAAGCATGGAAAAAATGGGATTAAAGCAAATATCTGGCTATACTTTCATCCAGGGATAACTTGAAAATTCTTAATAACTTGTTTATGGTGTTTCTTTGTATTTAAAGTTACAGGGATTTATTCTGATAAAGCTCATCGGCAAGTGACTAATTTAACTCACATAAGTAGACCCAATGAACAGAAAAGTACTATTCACATGAGAAAAGTGAAATCTAGAGAAACTGTTTGCCTCTCCCTGTACTGAGTGTCGTGACCAGATACATTAAAACACTGTCAGTCTCCATGAAAATGGAAACATTTACAGAAGAGTCTTTTCCAGTTCTTTGAGATGACTCAACATATCCATTTTGCTGTGTATTATTGTGAAGACTTCAAGCAGTAACTAGAAACAGACTTCTATATTTAATGCCAGGAAGTCAAGACAACTAACATGCCACAACAAAATTACTGAAAAGGGATTTCCAAGAACACACTGTATGCAATCCCAGGATCCCTGTACTAAATTCTGTGTCCCTTGGGTAATTGCAATAAACAAAATACATTTTTGATTCTTGTATCTTTGAGTCTTGAATCTTAGTAAATACCCTTCAAAATGCTTTTATGTATATCTTTGCATTTGGAAATATTAACCTAGTTATAACCTACTTTCACTTCATTCAGTCAGAGTAAAGCAAGAAGCAAACTCTGAAGATATTTTGTTTGTGAAATAGGAAATATTAGCCTTCTTAACTGTTTAATTTGAACATTTTCAGAATCTGAAAGAACACTAGCCCTGATTTTCCTCTGCCTTTCACTTGGGTTTGTCTACACTAGAGCTTTTAACTCGATTTAATTGATTACCAGGTAATTCGTTAGTTAACCCATTTGTAGACGTGTCTGAATACGTTTTCATGTTGCCAAAAATCATAAGCCATTTCCTTACCAACCTCAAATCATGAGAGTTCTAACAATAATAAACGTGGGGTTCCTTTTGTTTGCTTTCAGTTTACTCAAGGCATGTTTTCATTTCTGGATTTCAGGATTTTTCAATCTTCCCCTCCCCCGCCCCCACAGTCGTGCGGGCTACTAACTGTTTTTTAACTCCATGAGCTAGACATTTTAAAATAATAAAACAAAACAAACACTGCAAAAAACAGTTGAATCTGTTCACATGATGGTTTGACTGACTGAAACACCTTAATACCAGTGCAACTGAACGCACAGTAGTGGGGTTGCATTAAATCAGTTTAAAAAGACTGTTCTGGTTAAATTAGTTAATTGGTGCAAATACTGTGGGTACATAAGCCCCCATTAGGAGAAACATCTCTGTGTCCACTCTGCTTTTCTTTTCTATTGGAGCTCTGCATATTCTCATTATCCATATAGATTTTCAATCCTTCTTTGACAATACAATGTTCTTAGTCTCAGTGGTATCTCATGTTCAAAAAGCTAATTGTGAATTATATAAACCAGATGATTTCTTATCAATTTTGAAACTGTTTTTCACTCTGGGTATGTCCTCCCCTAAAAGTCAAAGTGAAACTCATGGGATACAAACTGAAACTGCTGATTTTTGCTAATTTTAGGACTATTATATGATTTCTTGATCTCTGTTCTCGGTGCATCCAGTTCAGTTCCACGAGCATCGTGCCTAAGTTTTAGAACAATCACTACAATTTAAACCCAAAGGGGAGAAAAACCACCTTACTTTCAATCCAGTTATTTTGGATGGAAAGCTGTTGTTCTCTCACTACCCTTCAGTGCTGCA